TCTCCAAACACATAAGGCCAGTCCCTGTCTTACAGAGAAATTACCAGGATGCACCGTATGCCTCCAACCTATTACTTCCTTACATTTTCAAAGTGCTTTCCAGATTGTTCTTTTTCCTCAGTTGATGCTTACAAACAGGCAGGGCCGCTAGTGTTCTTGCCACTTGCTATCCCCGGGTCTCAGTTCCTCAGTCTGTACAGAGGGAATGACCATGCCTGCTCCTGGGTTCCTTTGGAAGCTTAGGTGAGACATCCATGAGAAGCGTTTAGCCCAGCGTCTGGCCCCAGAGTAGGTGCTGGAGTAACACTAGCTGCTGCTGCGATCAGGTGACATGGAAAGTGCACCAGACTAGGGGGTCAAAAGGCCATGGTTCCAGATGTGACTCTGACAGGCGTCACCCATCCTGTGGCCCTGAGCAAGTCTCCTTGCCTCTTGGGTCTCAGTTTCCCCACTCCGTACAGAGGTGGCCCTGGGCTGGGGACCCTTCCTGTCCCCCTCCAGTACTGTTTGTCTCTGATGCCCCAAGCAGTGTTTAACTCAATCTAGCACTGGGGGGCACAAAGATCTGCACCGAACCCCGGGCCAAACAAGCACTTTTGGGGAGTGGAGTGCTTTGATGCGGGAAGCAGGGAAGTGGCGAGAGAACCAGGCATCTTGGAGAGTTTTGCTGAAAGTTCAGCCCTGACTCTTATCGGAGTCTGGGAATCTGCTGGTTGCCATGACAACAGAGAGCAGCTTCTAAGCTCCAGGTCGCTGATTAGCAGGAACAGAATGGGGAGGCCTTGAGGAATTCAACTCGCATGCTCCCTCCCTCCCTCTGTGAAGTGGAGTGTGTCGGCTCTTGACTGCACTGTTTTAGCTGTCCCCTGAAGATCTTGCCTTCTTTTAAGTGTTTTTTTATGCAACATCCAAGGGCTGTGAGGTAAAAACCAGGCAGCTGCTGGTACTCCTCGGCAAAGAGGGAACACAGAATTTTTCTTAAAGCCCTACAAGGATGGGAGGGGCTGTGGGAGAGAGGGGGTGCTGAGGGCTGAGTCCCCAGCAGGGCCGGGTGGCCTCAGACCAGTCCTTGTCCCTGGACCTCAGCTTCTTTATATGTAAGGAAAGGTTGGATCTAATCTGTGGTTCCTGCCTGAGACTGGCCATCAGAACTCATTTAGACATCTATCCTTCATCCCTTAATTCAACAAATGTTCATTGAGCAAAAAGGCTCTCTGTGCCTGGCACTGTGTCCCTTGGGATCCAATGATGGGAAAAGAGACTCATCCCTGCTCTCATGAAACTTACATTCTAGTCCAGAAGACAAACAGATAGCAAATACACGTAGGAAGTGGTCATTTCAAATAGGAACAAGTGTTCTGAAGGAAGGTACTGCAGACTGCTGGGATGGAGGCTGGGAAGAGAGGAGCAAGATTCCATAAGGGGCTCAGAGAGGGCCTCTCTGGGAAGGGGACGTTTGAATGGAACGAAAGAACCAACCCTGCAAAGAACTGGAGGAACAGCATACCAGGTGGAGGGAACAGAGAAAGCAAAGGCTCGGAGCCAAGGCTCTGTTCTGTTGAGGAAGAGCAGCAGGTCATGTGGCTACAGCAGAGCGAGGGACAGGGAGAGGCTGATGGGCAATGGCCTTTAGAGTGGGGCAGGGGCCAGACGGTGTAGAGCCTTTTAGTCCTGGTATTCAGTTTGGACTTCTTCTTGATCCAACAGGAAGCAGAATTACTGGGATGTTTCTTTAAGATGCATATTCCTGTTCCACCCTTTGAGACACTTATTTATTATGGCTGAGAAGGAACCTGGAAATCTGTACTTTTTAAAAGCCTCTTGGGGGGGCCTCTGGTACTGTGCCAGGCTTAGGAAACCATAGATTCCAAGCTTTCTGAGTCTTTTTTGGTTTTAAGAAAACTGAGAAGCAACGTGCTGGAACATCTTGAAAAAAAACTCTTAGATGTTATGTTATATCATGAAGGATTCTGTTCTCCTTTCTTCCCCGCTCCCTGTCTGTTGTGTTTTTGTTTGTTTGATTGCAAAATCCTGGGTCAGGTACCCAAAGCCAGGAAAGGGAAATTAGGGCTGTTGGAGAAAAGAACACCCTACCACATCAGGGTGGATTGTGGCAACTGCACTGCCCCTTTCTTCACCAAACCATCATCAAAATTCCCCATCCCTCGCCCCCGAAGCTGGCAGTAATGGGTGAGGCACTGCCCTGACCCTAAGCCTCACCCTCCAGTGCCTGGTAGGGTAGTGGCATCCACACCTTTCCCTACACAGCCATGACCCTACTCCCTCCATTAGCACAAGGCACTGGGACCTTCCTCCCGGTGCCAGCACTTACTCATCGTATGTTGATTCACTGCCAAATTCCTTGCATCAGCTCTCAAGTTTTTTGCCTACCAAGGGGTTGCCTCTGGTACAGATTAGTGTAATGGTTTTGTATAATGCCCCAGAGTCCAAAATTGCATATGTTCAACTCAAGACTCTTCATATATTGATAAGCTTACTGGTCACTTTTCTAAGAGGAATATGGGGTAGAATAGAAAAGGCATTGATTGAGCCATTGGCTGGTTTGTATTTGAGCCACAGAGGACCCCAAGGTCTTCTCGTGGGGACCTGACCTGCTCTCCCCTCTTAACACTCACACCCTTGCTTGCTACCCCTTGCATATACCAACCATCTTTGAAAACTTGCAATTCCTTCTGCCCAGAGCACATTTTCCACTTCCCACAGATAACTGTGTAGAACTTATACATTACTGGGCAACAAGTTACCCCAGGCCTTTGGGGATTCAAACAACAATAAACAGCTATGAAACTGTCCCACAGTTTCTGTGAATTTGGCAGGGAGACTGGCTCACCATCTATCATGAGATTATGGTCACCGGTCAGCCGAGGCCGCAGACCCATCTGAAGGCTGAATGGGGCTGCAGGCTCCTTCCACGGAGGAGCCCTCACGTGGCTCTTAGGTGCAGGCTGGCGGCAGGAGGCCTCCATTGTTCTTCACAGGAGCCTCTTCAGAGGGCTGCTTGAGTTTCCTCACACCACGGCGACCAGCTCCCCTCAGAGTGATCAGGCCCAGAGAGCGAGGCGGAAGCTGCCTGTGTGAACTAGCCTTGGATGTCACGTGCTGTAACTTTTATTACATTCTCATCACTTAAAGTGAGTCGATAAACCCTTCTGATATTCAAGGGGAGGGAAATTAGCTCCATCTTTTGATGGCAGGAGTGCCAGAGAATCTGTGAAGACATTTCAAAGCCTCCACAAACTGCAAACTTAGTCCCTAATCTGTCACTTCTCCAGTCCCATTACTTCCTCAGAAAGGCCCTCCCCCTTACGCTATACAAAATAGCTCCACCCCCTCCCACTTCCAAGTCCCATTACACTGATTTATTCTCTGCATAATTTATCACCATCCAATAAGCCGCACTATCATTTGCTTATGTGTTTATACCTGTCCCCCCATCTAGAATGTAAACTCCACAATCACAGGAGACATCTCCATCATGTTCGCTGCACCTGCACACTTAGAACTGGCCTGGACACAGCACAGGCACTCAGGGAACTGGAGTTAATGAATGCAGGTCAGCACAAGTATGGGAACAGGCAAGCCTTGCTGGGAACTGGGCAGAAATTGCAAGCATTGAGTTGTCTGAGAAGAGCCAGGACAGCATTCCACTTGGATAGACTGGAGGGAGCAGAGGCATGGAAATGGGACCCTCATTGTAGGAGAAGTGGGACAGGAAGCTGCAGGAAGAACTGGAGCTCTGGAAGCATGGAGTTGGCAGCGAGGAAGGCTGGGCAGCCCTGACTAGAATCTCCACCCCTCCTGGACTTGCAGGGTCTCCCAACTCTGCTTCTGAAGCTGCAACAATAAGCAGCTGACGGAGATGGATGTGTTTTGCTGCCCTCCTTCAATATTGATCAGGGTTGGCCTGCTCTCCAGGCTGCCCCAAGGAGCAGGGGCTTATCAGATGTACTCATCCTGAGTCATGAAACTGATCTCAAAGCACTGGCTGCAGTAATGTGGTGCATGAGAAATGCTAATGTTTTAGACCAATGCTTCACCCGGGATCTGCAGGCAGAGGGAGCAGGGAAGGGTACTGGCCCGATGGTGCCAAATCAACCTGTGACTCTTAAACTCCTGACTCCTCCTGGTTAGGGGCCAGGAGATTTGAGTGGTGGTCTCTTCAGAGTATCTAAGCAACTTCCCTTCCCTCTCCGGGTCTCAAAGAAGAAGATGGGACTCATGTAATTTCCCAGAGTTATTTGGGGCTCATCTCAGAGGCCTTCATGGCAACTGCATCCCAAGTAGGTGGCCTTATACCTACAAAGACATGAAATTGGAGGTTTGGTTTACAGGAAAGTAATATATGGGCTAATAGTATTCCTTATTTTATAATTGAGGAAACTGACTTGAGAGGTTGAGTGACTGGTCCCAGATCCTATAGCTGCTAAATGGTAAAGATAGTGTTTTACTCTGGGTGAATCTGTTCCATACACAGATAAGGCAGAGAAATGGATTGAAATGGCAAAGGGGAGTTGGAACTAATCCTATCATGATTTGGCCTCCAGTTATGTTGTGAGAAAGAAAGTGAAGTCTAGCTTCCAGCCTGTCCCTGTGATTTGGTCAGGATAGGAGAGGCTCTGCTGCAGCAACAAATAAACCCTGAAATCTTAGTGGCTTACCCTAACTGAGGCTTATTTCTATCATGCAAATTCTGATGTGATTCTGGCATCTCTCCCACATCTAGCAGCTTTACCTTTCGAGATATGTGACTTCCAAAGTCACTGTGACAGAGAAATAGATTGCTGGAGAAGGCACACCAATCTGGAACTGGAAGTGACATATGTCACTCCCACTCAGAGACCCTCAGCCAAAGATCATCATAGCCCCAACCTATCTGCAAGGGAAGTTGGGAAATATTAGTATGTCTATGAATGTTTCATGAACATTAAGAATCTCTGTCATATCCTAACACTTTTGCCTTCTTATTTCTTCCCCTGTAGGACAGAACCCCAGAATAGCCCCATGGTCCCAGCTCAAGATGGACCCTCAGAAAAGCTGAGCCAGCATCTTGCCACCGAGGCCTTGGGCACCAACAGCTGGGAGAGAGACAAGGCCTGCCGGGAGCTCAGTCCTGCCAGAGCACACAGGTGAGACACTGCTCCATCTCCCTTCAATTCCTCAAGTTCAAGTTGAGGATGCAGAAATGAAATTTGTTTCTCTGGCCACTCTTCCCCTCTCTCTTTTGCAGATCCTTCTTTCAGACCCTTAAATCAAATCAAAAGTCAGCAATGTTTTTCTATACGGGGCCAGATAGCAAATATTTCAGGCTTGTGGGCCAGATGGTCTCTGTCTAAACTGCTCAACCTGCCATTTTAGCACTAAATCAGCTATAGAATGATTTACATACGATGTGTAAACAAACAGGCTTAGCTGTGTGTCAATAAAACTTCACTTATAAAAACAGGAAACAGGCTAGATTGAGCCCATGGGCCAGTTCATTGCCTCTGCGTTAAAATGATAGTTAGTTCCTCTCCATTTCAATGACTGTGAGCCACTGGTTCCCGAATTGTGACTTCAGCCCAGATCTCTTCCCTAAGTTCTAGATCTGCACATTCGTTCCTTAATTTAGTTATCCAAGCAGCATTTCTTGAGCACCTGCCTCATAGCAAGCACTCTGTGAGCACGTGAGGGTAAACAATCTTACTGGGGCTCAGAGAGGTAAAGCTACTTGCCAGTAAGTGGCACAGGGAAGTTTTGAATTCTGGCCTCTCTGATCTTAAACCTTAGACTTAAACCTACCACATTATACTTGGATGTGAATGAAAAAATCAATCTACCCCCTACCTTAAATTTTGTGCCATACACATGTAAAGCCTGGCCCATCTTTGGCTTCTGGGGAATTGATTCTATTTACAACATGGTCTTTATAATCTGGCCTCACCAGCTGGTTGAAAGCATTATTTCTACTCCTTCAATTAACTCAGCATGCTCGTTGCCCTGGGCCTGTATCTTCTCCATCATGACAAGTGGAGAACAAGTCTGGTGTCCTTGTCAGTAACATTCCTCAGAGACAAGCCTTGCCTCCTGGCTTTGAATCAGTGGGTGTTAAAGCCATTTTACAGATGTGGAAACTGAGGTCAGTTGGTAGCAAGGCCAAGATTCACCTGAATAGTCCTGATCGGGTCCACATTCTCTCATTATGTCTTAGAGTTCTTGGTTTACTAAGGCGTAGGTTCTAAACCACTTTGGACTTAAAGCATTAGATGGAGGTGATGAGTACTACACCCAGGAAAATGTGTGTGCTCCAAGAATTCTCCCCAGATTCTGTGTACCTTGTTAGAGGTTCGTGGACCCCCGAGGCTGAGGAACAAGGATCTCTAGTTAAGAACCTGAATTTTGGAGAAGTGGCTTGAGAAACCAGAGTAGGTTTTGCAGACAGAGTCGTCTCCTCCACCCAGGCTGCCCTCTTGGCTACAGGCTTTAGTTGGGCTGTGATTTTAATGAGGGAGAAACAGTTAAGTCCTATCAGCTCAGAAAAGTGAAGTTCAATATCAGAGCTGGAGAATTATCTCCAGGAAACAGGGGAAAAGCTGTTTCCATAAGAGGCCCAGGTAGGTCAAGAGAAAACAGGAGACAAGGGAAATCATTGTGCTTTCAAAACATTATCTGCCAGACAGCCAAAGGCAATTACTGTGTGGTAGAGACCAGCGTTCAAACCTGGACACTACCACTCCCTAACTGAGTGACCTCAACAGTGTCCTTCCATGGGCCTCAGTTTTCACAACTGTAAAATGGGAATATTGAGATCTAATGCTCAAGGTCAGCTGAGGTTTAAATCAAATCAGGCATTTAAAGATCCTGAGAGTGGGCCTGGAATACAAGAGGTGCTTAAAATGTTAGCTGGAATCTCTTGGAGCCAGAAAAGAAGATTCTGGGCTTGCAGATGTGAAAAATGATACAATGTTGTCGATTTGATTGTTAAGAGTCTGGGCTTCTTGCTCCCTTCTCCTATCTGTGACCCACCCTCTGAGATAATAAAAACCATAATGATGATAAGGACATTAACAGTGATAATAAAAGTCATAATAATTATAATAATAGAAACTACATTTATGGGGAACTTGCTGTGTGCCAGACCAGGGCACATTGCATGAGTGAGTTCACTTCATTCCTTGCGGCAAACCTGGGACACAGGGATCATGTTTCATTCCCATCTTACAAGTCCTGAAAATGATACTCTGAGGAATCACTGAGCTAGAACGTAATAGAGCAGGAATGTAAATCCAGGTGTCTCAGTTTCTAGAGCCAGTGTTCTTTCCTGCTGGGTACTTGCCCTCTGCATATTTGACCGCTGAGTACTGAACCGCTGTATGTGGAACCACCGCATATTTAACTGCTGCTTATGTAACTGTGTGGACTCTACTGCTATCCTGGCCCTTCCAGCCCTGCTATGGGGGCACACCTAGAAAGAGTTGGAGGAAATGCAGACCTACCTGGGTAAAGGCATTTGGGATTTATGGAGGGGGTTGATTATCCCCCTTCACAGACCTCAAGCCTATCCAAATTCAAGGGCTCTCCGTTTTACACCATCACTTAAATCAGAGTCTAGGACAGTGGTTCATAAATCGTGCTCCCCTGGAACCCTGTGGTTCCAGAAAGAAGTAAGAATAGATGACTGAAATAATTAGTTCTTTCTCTGTCTTACAAGATACACTTAAAAAAAAAATTTTTTTTAAGTATGTGTCCCTTAAATGTTTTTTGTTTTCTTTTTTTCTCTCCAATTCCCAGCAGCTGTTACACTGGGAAATATCTGTATGAAAGAGAAACAATTTAACAAGTGGCTAAATGACTTCCTTTGGTCATCCCTCATTTAGTCACCCAACAAATATTTATTAGGTTCTTACTCTGTGTCAAGAACTTGCTGCAGGAAAAATTTGGAAGTGCCTACCACATTTACACAAGCAGCCTGTTTGCTTCCTGGATCTTTGTATTGTGCTTTGTGCTTTATAACATGTAAGTGTAATTAAGTAGGTAGGTATTTAATCCCTAAGATATTTATTTAGAATCTGCTTTAAAAAAGAGACTTTATTAAAATGTTCTAGATATCACTATTTGATTTTTTATTTATTGCAATGCAGAGACCTTAACATATATTCTAATCACTTGGTCACTTTTCTACTAACCCTAATGATCAAGATTCTTATAGTGGAATTAAATATGGCAGCATTTTATGATGTTCTTTAAAGAATTGGGTAGCTTCCAAAAGAATGGCCATACAAACAAGTTTGAGAAGGCAGCTGGTTTTGGGGGAAAGCTCTCAGAGTAGGCATCACAGGCCTTGCCTCAAATCCTAGCCTAGACGCTCCTAACTCTGCAGCCGTGGGCAAGCCAATTCAACATTCTGACCCTTATTTTTTTCACTTGTAAAAGAAGATAATCAATTCATACCACCCTCAAAGTGTTTTTGACAGTATCAAAGTATATAAAACACTTGGTACAGAAGTGAACAAATGGTAGCTGAGTTATTACTAACGAATGGCAATAATATTCTTATTAATATTACATTTTCCAGTCAAGTTCAACTGAGTTGGCATGTTTCAATTCCCAAGCAGTTTTTCATCCGCAACCCATTTCCTTTTGCCATGGGATAGTGTTTTTAAAAAAATCCCTGGAGCTCGCCCCAATTATAAAAGGAGATAACCTAACTTCATTTAACTGAAGCCTGAGCATTTGAATTTAATTGAATGGGAAATAATTATTCCTGAACAGCAGAGGTTTTTGAGGTTCTGTGAGGCCCTGTAAGATATGTATCTCATTACATTAGACTTCGGCAAATACACTTTTAATAATCAGTTGCTTCTTAACATACCTTCCGCCTCCTATTAAATCTCCAGCAGGAACTACAGACATAATGTGTTGGGATGGGAGGGGGATGAACTGCCAATTAATTATTTAAAAAGTGATTTATTTACCAAGGCGAGCCATTTGCAAATTCAATAATAAATCTATTAAGAAGCAGTCAACCTCTATAATGCTGTCTTAAATAATGAATTGGTGTTTGGGTAACGGACATCGTCTGTCTCATTAGGTTGGCATGGACTCCTTATTTGAGGCACTTAATCTAAAGTGTGACCGAATCAGGCCTGAGGTGGTAATTAGGTTTCACTATGGGCCCTTCATCCAAGGAACTGGGTGTTTCTTCCCTGTCTGCATCAGCCTGGGCTGGGGGCTTGGGGAGGCCCGCGTCCTCTAATGCCAGCCTCTGTGCTCCACACAGTGCCTCCCGTGACAGAGACCTGACGCCACCGCCTTCCTCCAGGGGGAAGAAGAAAAAGAAGAAATCCACGCGGAAGAAGAGAAGGAGGTGAGGTCCCTAAGGGGAGATAAAACCTTGGAGATGGGGGAGAAGGACAAAATAGGGGCAAATGCGTTTTGGAGTCAAATGGTGACTCTCATTGGGTTCAAATCCCTTCTCTGCCTCTTAACTAGTTGTGTGAACTTAGGCAAGTCACTCACCTCTTTGTGCCTGTGTCCAGTTCTGTAAAATGATGATAATGACCACTCATGGGGTTTTGTGATAATTAGATGAAAAAGGAACATGGAAGGAGCTGTCAGTGTCTGGCACGCAGTAAATGACCAGTTAATCAGGAGCATACGCATGACTATGAATACTGATTTTTTTTCTTTGAGAACTTACTCGCTGTGGAGGGACTGTGCCAAATGCTGTAATCTCCATGACCTTTTACCTTTGACCATAATCTACCAGGCAACCATGATTATCCCCATGTCAGGGATGAGAAAAGAAAGGCACAGAATTTACAAGGACTTGATCCCAGGCGCTTCCGTTGATTACACTATTCCTACCTCACAGGTTGAATGCCCAGGATAATAGACTGTATTTTTTTGCCAGCTATTGACTCTTTTATACCCTATGAATTTTTTTTCTGTGAAAAATTCCTTTTACATTTTTATATTTAAAAATATTTCCAGATTTTCTTTAAGGTTGCCAGCCATGAGACTAAAAATGTGTCCAATGTTGCAGTCCCAGAGGGGTGGGCAGAGACTTTAGAGGGGCCTGTTGAAAATCACACCAAACCTCGGAGGCAGTATTTAAAGAGGCCTGCAAGGGGCAGCAGAGAGCGATGCCTGAGTGGCGCGGGCCCCAACTTCGGGTTTTTGGGGACCTTGCTCCCTCCACACCCCGCTTGCCTAGTTCTTAGAGGACAGGACCCAGAAAGGAATGTGAAAGAAGGCCCTGAGTTGTAGAGTAAGGGGTGGAACTGGGGCAAGTGGCTGGAGCTTTCTGATTTTAGGGGTGGCCAGAAGAACACTTCAAAGGAGACCTTAGGCACAGAGCTTTGCTAACTAACTCATTTGTTCAGTAAATGTACGCTGAGCACTTGTGTGGGGGCAGTGCTGTGATTTCCCCAAGCGTCAAGTTGTTCTCAGCCCTGCATTTCCCCTGCAGACATATTTTGTTTGACCTGCAAAGTGCTTTTTTGTCTTTACTGGTGGCCAACATTTAAAAATCAGGAGATATCATATGAAAATATGTTTTTCTGGCAACTTCTATTGAAAAGGCAGGTGTTCCAGAAGCCTGGGCCCGCATTCCCACACGGGACCACATGGGCTGATCTGAGAAGCAGACATCCCTTCAGTCAGGTGCTCATTGATTTGCCACAGTCTCCACCACTCCCTGTTGTCTTACACCCAGCCTGCTTCATCCTTTTATGCTATCTGAGAGGCCCCTGTTTTCATTGAGCTTAAAACTCCTAATCTATGTCCACCTTGGTTTTTTGTCAGTGCGGAACAAGATACTCAGAGATGAGCAGTGACATGCCCAGAGTGACTTCATGAGTTGGTGGTAGAGTCAGTATTCAATTCAGGTCATCTGAGCCTTAATCTTGACTTAATGTCATGGTCCGAGGGTCATTCTGTTTCTCGGGTAACCCCTGATGGTACCACCCAACCATCTTTCTTAGAGGTTCGATCTTATCAGAGAGACAACAGAGTGGGGCAGAAGAGAGCCTTCTAGTATATGAGAGAGGCCACAGCTTGGAAGAGGACACTACACAAAAGGAACTATTTATGGCCTGGCCAGGAAGGCAGCTATAGGGTAACACAGTGATGAGAGCAAGGCTTTTTGGGTCAGGGAGGCTTCAATTTGAATCTTAGCTCATCCACTTCCTAGCTGTGTATCATTGGCCAGTCACGTCACCTCTCTGAACCTCCCTTTCTTTGTCTGAAAAAGGAGGTAGCAACTGTACCTACCTAAGAAGCATGTGGAAGGATTAAGTGAGATAATAATAAAACTAAAAATAATAATAATAATAAAACACATGGGAGCATTTAGAACAAATGCACATTAATATCAGGATTGCTATTATCCTGTGTGTGTGTGTGACTGAAAGAGCTGAGACTCTATATAGGACTGGAGAGGCTCCAAAACCAACCCTGGCCTTTAAGAACCTCCCTCTGAAGGGTGTCTCCCTCCCCCTGGCAGGTCCCCATCATACAGCCCATCGCCTGTCAAGAAAAAGAAGAAGAAAAGTTCCAAGAAACGAAAGAGACACAGGTACGATCCTTCCTCCTCGGCAAACGGGGTTGCTGGGTGGGGCAGGGGGGCGGGGGCTGCGGGTTGATGGCACTAAAAGGTTATTTCGAAGCTTCTTGTTTCATTTCTGAATTGTTACTTATTTATATCTTGTGTAACTTGGAACTTTGCTTGTAAAGACCAAAGGCCCCTAAAGTTGAACTGAGGCTAGAAGGGGGATTTGATGATGAGGGGGCAGGAGTGTCTCAGGGACCAGCCAAGCTCCCAGGAGGGGCCGGCACCAAGGAGCGAGAGCTGAGGGAACCCACGCGGGAGACACCGTCTCCGTCTATGTGGGGAGACAGGGTGGTGTCCTGTCCCCATCCCTATGTGTCGCAGGCTCAACCACAGGAAAATACTGCATCGTTCCGTCTTGTTCCGTATTCCATGTTCCCAAGGAAAGGCCTCTCTGGTTGGTCCACCTGCGTCCTAGAGGATGGAATCATGTAAAACATAGCTGCTGGAATTACAGTAGTTAAAGCTCTTTATGAACAGGACACATATTCCAAAAGGTGCCTACTGTGCACACACACATGTATATTTATGTTGTGGGGGAAGACTGGAAGAATATACACCAAAGGACTCGAATCTCTGGGTCATGGGCCAAGCCAACATTTTATAATTGGGAGATTCTGCAGTATGAAAATCAGGTTTTCCAGCTGCTCTATAAAATCCAAAGTTCTGTCTTCATTGGGCCAGTTTTTCTGCAGGCAGCCCTCGCTGGGGCTGAGGGGTTGCTGTGCATTTAGACAGAGCCTGGGTGCACTGTTTTGCCACAGGTCCCACTTAGCCTGCTGCCCCCAACTGCACGCAGTTACAAAGCCTGCTTGGCCCCTGGAAACAGGGAGTTTGACACTCCCTGTGTAAGTTAATTGCTGTGGTTGGCTGTGGGTGACAGGGAAAAAGTGGTTTATATTTTATTTTTACTTATCTGTATCTGCCAATTTCCCTGCATCAATGGTGGGTTACTTGTGCAGTTAAACAATCACAACAGTACAAGAAGTAAGAGTTCATTTGGGTTCCCCCCTGCATCTCAGCCTTGGTTCATAGTTGCCCCCAGAATGGCTTTTCCCAATTCAGGGGTGTGCTCACATCTCAGCCCCTGTTGCCAGACGGTCTCAGCTCAGTTTGGTTTTGCTGATTGCATCCACCACCCATCCAGACATTCCAGCCGATGCTGAGCGTGTGCTTAACACAAGATGTGGGCAGACCAGTTAGGGAGGTGTTGCTAACTGGGTGTTAGAGACTTCCCAACATGGAGTCCTTCACAAAGGCAATACTGTCCGTGGCTGAAGGCTGCCGTCTTGCTGCCTTCCTATGCTGACCAGTTTGTCCGTGCTGCTTGGGGGACCTCTCCATACCTGGGTCTTGGCATCCAAGTGGCTTGTCACTCAAGGGTGTCTTATGAAGAAGGGACTGTGCCAGAGGTTAGAAACAGGCTTTTTCTACCAACTACAGTCAGCCCAGGAGTTGGAGGTTTAGAGGGAAGGAGGAGCATAGAATGGGACATTAGGAGGCTGGTCCTTTCCAAACCCCCCACTGACTGAGCACCACCTTACTGTGGGCCCAGCTCCTCCAAAGTTCTTGAAATGTTGGGTTAATGACAGTTGACATTTTTGGAGATAGGAGCTAAGGGTAGGAGATGCATTGAGAATTTTTTTTTCTCCTGTTAACAAGGCTTCAGAATTTATTTTTTTAATCACATTTTCCACATCTGCTTATCAAATACCCATTATATGTCATGAATGAGGATTCTGGGCCTCGGGAATAGAACAGAACCAAAGCCCAGCCTGTGCCCTCAAGTTGCTCACATCCTAATGGGGCGCATGGACAATTATAATCTGCAGAGATCAGAAGCACCCCCAGAGCTCATGGGAGCAAAGAGGAGGCACCCAACAAGCCTGAGGGGACCAGGAAATGCTACAAGGACATGATGACATCTGAGTGGGGCTCTGAGGAATGAGTAAGAGTTCCACAGGTGAAGCTGTGTGACTTTGGGCAACTTAACGAACTTCTCTGGGCTTCGGTATCTTTGTCCTGTGGTTGTTAGTAGTACTTCACAGGATCTGGGTCATAATTTCTGAATGAAATTATGTGTGAGAGACACTTAGCACAGAGCCTCGCACACAGTAGGAGTTCCACATATGGAAGTTGCTTGTCCCATAATGGCGATCATGATTCCACAAGTAGGAGGAAATGATGAAAGGGAGGTGGGGGGCAAAGAGCAGAGGAGGCGGAGGACTCTCTTCATGTCCTCCCATCCAATCTCATCCTAGACAGACTTACTAACAGCTGTGGGTGAGGATTGAAGCATTGCTAGATTTGACCTGGAAATTCAAAATGCAAAGCAATGTCTCCTATATGGTCTTCCAATTCTTTGAAATCTAAGGAGGATTTGCTAGGTCTCCTGACCCCCCGATATATAGCAAGACCATAAATGCACTGATACATTCATCCCAGGCAAAGAAACCTCACTCACCTATATTTATTTTCTTCCCTTCCTCTCCCCTTCCTCCCCCTTTCTCTTCCCATCCCTCCCCACTTCCCTCACTTATTTTATCCCCTCCAATCAGGTCATTCTCCAAGAAGAGAAGGCACAGGTAAGAATCTTCTTGCGTCTGGCTGCTTGCTTCAGCTCTCTGCTTTCCCAACCAGGCTTTAGGTGGCCTCTGGGGTCACTTCCCGGTCTCCATCTCCCAACCCCTACCAGTGCCCCTTCTTAGAAAGTTTCACTGCCCTTGCAAGAGTCGATTTGTTTTTGCCACTGGTTGAACTCTTGGGTTGGGGCTTTTGGAGAAGAAACATCAGCCCCAGCCAGCCTGCCAGAGCCTTCCCAGATCCTAGCCAAGGGTTAGAAGCCAAGTCCTACTGTACTGGACACGCTGTGAGTGTCCCCTACGGGTCCTGACTGTAAAGTAGATCCTTCCCATGGGTGTGTATTGAATCTCCATGAATTGCAAAAACCTAGGCAGTGGATATATTTATTTTTCCCATTTTACAGATGAAGAAACTGAGACTCAGACAGGAGATGTAACAGGCATGTCCAGAATGTGGCAGAGCCAAAATTCAAACCCAGATCTGCCAAACAGAGAGTCAGGACACCCTACAAGTGGCTTCTTAAGTCACAACAGCCACACCTAGGGCATTGGCAGGGCAAAGCATCCTTTCATTCATTGGTTAACAAGGCAATAGCGATTTCTAGTATCATCCATCAGCTCAGCCAAATGGCCTGAGCAATGGCCCCATTTCACAGTCAACAAAACCAGGTCTTCAAGAGGGCAGGTAACTTGCCTGATGTCACACAGCAGCTAAGCAGCAGAGCTGGGGTGTGAACTTGGATCTTCCAGTGAGGTCCTAGACTCTTCCACTGCCCAGGCTGAGTCAGACACGGAGATGAATCCTGTAGCCAACACCAAAGTAAGATTTCAGTTGGAGGAAATTGGTTTTCTCCTTCCCGGGACCTGTGCTGGGAACGCCCTCTTGGTGACCTTCTGATGCCAGTCTGGCTTGAACTACCAAGTTGCATTTTGCCCTCTGCAGCCTCTCTTTGATTATTCTGGGATCCTGAGTCATCATTGTCCATTCTACGCATTCCTCATCCCTCTGGCTTTAAAAAAAATAGAAACAGATGCTTGAATATTCATAGACAGAACATTTCAGAATCTGCTAAGCTTCTGGAGGCTTCAGAGTGTCTCCCTGGATATTCCCTTCTCTTCTCTTATAAATTGATTGAACAACAGTCCAGAGCATGGGCTCCAGGGACCTGTGGTCTGGGCCGCATCCAGTTCACCTGTGTGATCCTGGTCAAGCATCTTAGTCTCTCTGACGCTCAGTTTCCACATCTGTAAAATGAGTGCTTATTAAGTGTGCCCCTATCCATAGGTTGTGGGGAGAATAAAATGAGATTGTGGCAATAAGTATTCATCAGAGTGCCCACCCTATAATAAGTCCTCAAAAAACAGCAGACATTAGTATTACCTTTATTTCTACTATTTTTATTAAGCAACCAAAGCTGGCCATAGCATCCTCTGTACCCCATTCTCAGTCTGCTGGGTGAAAAATTCAGCAGAGGCTGCTCTGGTCTTGGACATGAGCAGTGTCTGTTCTGAAAGGGCCTGGATCTATGGCCACTGTGTGTTAAGCATTTTAACTACTTGTTTCTTTTGATCTTTCACTGGAATTTTGCATCTTTCAATTAATGGGTCATTTCTTATTTAGTTCCTCTAGCCCAAAAAGCAAAAGAAGAGAAGAGAAGAGGCACAAAAAGCAGTAAGTAGAGACCACCTGGAATGCTCTCTCCAGTCTGGGGAGGTGGGAGACCTGGCCTCCTAACAGCCGAGTATCATAGGTGCCATATAAACAGGGAAAGAGCGAGGGGGCAGGTGGATGATGAGAGGGAAGGGGAAGTGGCCTTGAGGTTGTGGGTTTAGGTATGCTTGAGCACACAAGGTTGTATATGTTGTGTGTGTGTGCATGTGTGTCTGTGTGTGCATGAAAGTGAGTGGTGTGCATCTGTGTGCCCGGCGTGCCCATCACATGTGAATTCTGTGCGCATGGATGTGCATTGTGTATGTATTTGTTTGGAGGGTGCATACCTGTAGTGTGCACATTGCACACATCTACATTTTTCCATCATGCAAACATCTGAGTGAACTATGTGTATGCAGTGTGGGTAACTAGTGTGTGTATGTGTGTAGGTGTGGTGCACTTCTGTTCACACAAATGCATTATGTATGCTCGTGCTTATGTGAGCATGATGTGAACAGTATACATGTAAGTGTACCCTCTGCCTCTGTGTGTTAATTCTGTACGCTCGGCATGTATGCTGCTTATTAATCCATGTGCATTATATACATGGAGGGCATAGGGTGCTTTTTACCCATGCACATTTGTGTGCTGTATGTGCACGAGTGGTCGGGCGGGGGGGCCCGATGGTGTGTGTGCACATGCGTGTGTGTGCACATGAGTCTGAGCCCTGGCTGTGGGAGTTACAGCATGGAGATATCAGTGAAGCGCCTACCCCCAGTATCGGGGTCCCAGCTGGTTCACAGTTTATAGCTGGTAGTAGAAATTCAAATCAGCTAGCGCTGCCTATGGAGCTCAGTTCCCAGACAAATTAAAAGTAAATGTGGTTACAACCCACCTACTTTATACCCTGTAAATGTTACTGTCAACTAATATTTTATCTCCCGCTAAGAAGCTTCTAAACTGAGGAACAAAGGCAATGGGATGCAAGGCCATCAGCTGTTGGGGAGGGAAGAGGAAGGAGGGGCACTAAGGGAGGGTGTCCAGCTTTGTTGCCCCAAAGGGCCTCTTTACTCAAGGTTGGTGCGAAGGAGGGCCTTTCAGTTGCCACCACAGGGGCCTGGAGAACACTCCAGAAGGAAGCCATAGGGCTATGAGTCAGCTCAGGGAAGAACGTCCTGACCATCACGTTTGCTCAAGTCAAAGGGCAATATTGGTCATAAGAACTGAGTGTGCGTTCACACTGAGCAGATAGAGCACAAAGCCTCAGAGACATCAAGGTCACGCATCCAGTGGGGCTGTAGTACAGAGAGCCACCGATCAAGGGGTGGAGACCCTCAGGTTGCTGGGAGGGGTCACCACCAAGACAAGGACTGCCCGCCTGAGGGCAGCAAGGTGGCCGCCCTTCTGGTGCGGAGATCTGGACGAGTTCCAGAAGGTACAGGCCAAAAGGCTAGAACCAGGAGAGGGAAAAGCAGGAGAACCAAGGTGCCCCATAAGGTCAAAGGTTGCTGCTCTGGCAAGTGACCAGTGGAGGAGGGCAGCACCCTTTTATTCAACGTTCCTTAGTGAGGCCCTAATATGTGTCAGGTCCTGTGCTGATCCCAAGGACAGAGATTAGCGGAATGTTCTCCTGGTCTTGGGGAGCTCACAGTGCAGAGGGCCAAGGAGGCATCCACGGGGCAGGTCACAGCAGAGTGGTGGCAGACAGAAGCCCTCAGCACCGTGGGGTTTGGTGGTGAGGGGGGGCTTCCTGGAGGAGAGGGGTGTCTAGGCTGCAGGTAAGGATGGAGGTAACCACTCTTGGCTGCAGGTTAAGCAAGTGCTTTAAACTCTCTGTGCCTCAGTTTTTTTATCTGTAAAATGGGAACAATAAGAGAACCTACTTCATAGGTTGTCCATTTAAAGAAAATGTTCAGAATACAGTGCCGAGCCCGCAGTATGTGTTAGATACGGGGGACCTATCACCATCCTCATCCTCACCCCTATGAGGACATGAACTGGGAAATGTGTAAGCAAGGATACGAGCAGTTTGGCACTGCTTGACCCTGCCAGGTTAGGGCAAGGAGGCTGGAGAGACTCTTGAGGTTCAAGATCAGAGTTCAAGGTCAGAAGATTGGACATGAGGGCAATGGGAAGAGATACAGTCTGATGATCCCGTCTGATGATCCGTACCTCTTACAAGAGTCCCTGAGTCCGTTGTTGGAATAGCAAGGCTACCTCCTGACAGAACCTTCTCTAACTCCGCCGGGCTTCCTGTCTTGGCCCACCCCCTGACATCCCTTCTGCGTGCTCGAGACCACAGCCGCTGCTCCTCCTACTTCTGAGTCACTATTATTACTTAGAGGGAGCTGAAGTAACCTGTAATAATGCCGTTATTAGTGGAAATGGTAGCAACTTCTGTTCTTAATCATTTTTATCGTTGATGATGTCCATGATGCTGAAAGAAGACTTTTGACTCTGGACTTAATCTTCCAGGCCTGAGGTTGTGAATTGGCAGCCTCAAGGCCTCATTCACTTTGCAAATGTGTTTTGTTTGCCCCAAATAGTGTCTTTTTTAAAAAATGAGCTTCCATTTAAAATAGGAATGTTTTATATAAAAATCTGTATTTGCTTGAAGAATGGGAAGATCCTGCACTACAACAATATTCCAAAGGCAAAGTCCCTCCTCCCTTTAGCTGCGCTCTTCAGTTGCTATGTTTTTAGTGCCTGACTGATGCACACATTACGGTATCTGAGTAGCTCATGAAGCTGTCTGAAATGGACACTCCTGCCTTAGGTGAGGGAGAGCTGACAGGTGGGGTGACTTCCTGTCCAGGGTGTGGCCCGTATCAGGCCTGCTTCCAGCCGGGAGGGAGGCCGAGTCGTGTAGGCTGTCTCCTCCAGAACTGGTTCTGCTCACATGTGCTCAGTATGGCTAGTTAGAGGCCCCAAATACCCAGGCTGGGAGCTGGGAAGGTGCCTGACTTTGGGAGGGACAGTGATTCTGGTGTGAGAGGAAAACATATGCCACAAAGTCAAAGTCTGCCTTTCCCTCCTCTGACTCGCTCTTTTTCACCCTGGCAAGATCTCGAAGTCGGCCCCGAAAATCTCACCGCCACCGCCATCACCACTGCCCCTCGCGGTCCCAGAGCTCCGAGTCCCGCTCCTCAAGCTGCGAGAGCAGGTAACCACCTGGCTCTGGGCTTTGCACTCTCACAAAGGGCTGCTCAAAGCACAGAGAAGCTAAGCAAACTATGAAAGGCCAGCACAAAGTATCTACTTCCGAGGCCCTTCCAACTCAGGTTTCTCCTAACCTGGACCCTCTCTGTGCTGACACACGGGCTGTCCTGGCCTGAGACGGGAAGGAGGAGGGTTCTCTTGTAAATGAGAACAAGAATAAGAAAACCCAGGTTGTGGGGCATTGTTGATGTTGATGTTTGAAATTGCTGATGCCCAATGGAAACACCAAAGCTGACTTCTAGTATTCTTCCTCAAGTGCACCTCACACTTGACTACGTGTTCACGTCACCTGCGGAAGTTCAAAAACTCACTGTCCTGGTCCCACCCCCATCAGGAGGAGGAGAAGGAGAAATATTTATCTATAGATTGTAGTCTGTGCCACGCATTATGCTATCTCAAATACATTTTCTCTCTTAATAATCCCAGTAACATCACGAGCTAGACCAGAGCTTCTCCACATTCGCTGCACTTTGCAATCACCTCAGAAGTTTTTAAAAAATACCAGGGTCTGGATCCCACCCCCCCACTAGACATCCTGATTTAATTCAGATGAGGTGAGGCCCGGACAACAAGATTTCTAAATCTGCCCAGGTGACGGGAATGTGGAGCCCAGAGAGATGAGCACTTGAGAAAGAGGGAAGCAGCGCCTTCCACGGACCGCTTCCACTGATGGGCCGTGGGTGGGTGGATGCCCACGGCGTTCATGCAGTCACACCCAGGCACTCTCGTCCTCAGATCCCAGGGGTCCCTCAGCACCTCTCTGCCACGCTTTCCTCAAAAGACCCTCGGGTGTCTCTGCCCTCCCTGTCCCCAGGCACCGCGGCCGGTCCCCCGAGGAAGGGCGGAAGTCGCGCCGAAGGCACTCCCGCCGCTGCTCCAAGACCCTCGGCAAGGCCCGCCCCGAGGCCCGCTCCGGCCCCCCGCCCAGCCAGCCCCTCCAGACGCTCAGCCTCCTGCCGGCCAGGGGCGTAGTAAGTATTCCGCACGGCCTTCCCAGCCGGTATTGGCCACGACACTTGGGATAGAGGGAGGCGCGAGCTGCAGGCAGTGTACCACACACGTTAATGCAGTTTCGGGCAAATATCCCACGGGTTTCAGACTTGTTATTGATTACCCAAATGGTCATTCACCAGCCCACCAGCACTCGGCTTGGGGATTTAGGGCCAGGAGTGCCAGGGAAGGGAGAAAAGCTAAAAGACCCAGGCTTTTCATCAGGGAGACACTGAAAAATACACACTGGTCTTCAAAGTGACATGTACTGGAATGCTTCTGTGAGACACTGAAGGTTTCTTTGGGGAGGAAGGAAAAGAGGGGGGTTTTGATAGTTGAGACACTCCAGCTTTTTCAGTGAAATCTGCATCTTTGATGCTAGCTAGCCTGTATGTAGCCTTGCTGAGCAGCTGGGATTTGATTTCACCAATATAATCCTGGCCTTGAATGTGTATGAGAATTTTCCTTCAAGGACCTCCTAGCGCTTGACCTGTGTCCTCCCGTGTGTCCACACAAGGTCTCGGGGAATTGAGGCCACAGCTGCTCTCACTAGTCCCTTCCACAGATGGAACAGAAAAAGCAAAGCTCAGAGAGGTTAAGGTCTGGGGTAAAGCCACCCCAGAGTAGGAGCAAGAGTGAGTCCAGCTTAGCAACCTGGCATTGAATAGAATCATGTCACGTTCCCTCAGTCAATAAGAAGGAGCTAGAATATGACTTCGGACAGCTTGACACCAGGCAGTTTCCTGAGCAAAGGATTTGGCACTAGATCTGAACTCAAGTTCCAGCTTTGCTACTTCCTAGCTGGGTGGCTTTGGAAAGTCACTTAACTTCTATGAAAGTCAGTTTTCTCATCAGCAGACTCGAAATAATACCATTTCCACGTGGGACTGTTGGGGACATCCAGTAAGATAAAGTGTGTGAAGGCCCTTTATAGACTCTAAAGGGACAAACAAGAGGAGATTGAACATTGACATAGCCTGTGATCACAGCTGGCTGCTGGGAAAGGACCTGTTTCCTCGACCTTCAAGTGAATTGGAACGTTTCAGGGAGCCGCTCCTTCAGGAAGGATGAGGTAGAAGGAAGGAATGGCTCAGGGGTGCTTGCAGGGAGGTTAAGCAAGACAAGGTGATAAACACTAGTTGGACCTGGTTGATGCAATACTTGTTACCTGCAGTGCATTGTGGGAAACTCTCTTTACCATTCATAGCACGCTGTATCACCAAGGTCTAATTTTGCCCACATCCTCTGCCTTGCTGGAATCAACCACAGCTCCCTCAGTCCCCTCTTGTGCCTGCCTTTGTAGAAATGCCCGTGGTCGCTGTGAGTTTTGTAGATGGAAAATGCCCAACTATGCAGTTGGCCTCCCCTCCCTGAATGTCCTTACAAGGTCTTCCCAGTATGGCGGAGAGTCTCAAGGCCTGCCTTCAAGTCCTAGCTTGACTGGACAATTCCTTCTACTGCTCCCAGCCTCAGCCTTCTCACCTGGAAAACAGGCATAAGTAGCCCACTTGTCTCCCAGGGGAATTGTTGCAAAGGTAGAAATCAATTTAAAATATGAGTAATAAGCAGTAGAAGCATGTTTTTAAGTTGTAAAAGCCACCCAGTCTCCCTGCTCACGGTATTTGTGGCAACCCACTTAGTGGCCCTAACTGACCCTCCCTAAAAAATGCCATGAGGAGCAACTGGCTTACATTTCCCCACCTGACTGGGATGGCTTCCTAGCAGGCCACATCTGTAAAGATGTTTCAAAATGCTGGATGTTGCAAAAAAAACAACAACAAAAAAGTGTGGTCCTCCCTCACTCTTGGTGAGTTGGGGAGGTACCAGTTGGCTGCTGGTTCGTGACGCCTCAATGCCCGCTGGGTCTAACCCCTGTCAGAGGAGCTGGAAGCTCACCTGTACCCAGCAGAACCCAGCAGAGACTCATTCAGGGCACACCTGGCCCAACGCCCTGATTCCAAGGGGATTAACTGAGATGCAGAAAAGAGAAACGACTCCCATGGGCTACTGTGAGTCAGGGTTGTTAAAACCACAGGATTATGATTATGATGAATCCTGGCTCTGAGTTGGGGATTATTACTCAACCCTTTTTGAGCCATTGTTTCCTCATCTGTTAGAAAAGCATGCAGATAATAAGTCTCTTCTTCAAAAGCCTTGTCATTAGGACAAAAGCAAGGTCATGCTATAAACTGTTGGCCCTGGTGCTCGGCACAGGGGCAAGACTCAGCAGACGTGCATGGGTATTAGATTCCAAAATCCCAAATGCTGGCTCTACACTTACCAATGGTGGAAACTTGAGCAAGCTACATGAGCTTCCTGTGCCTCGGTTTCCTCTAAATCTGCCAAACGAGGATAACCATGACTCCTACCCCCTAAGAGTTATGTGTGAGGATTCAGTGACTTACTGTAAGTAAGCATGTGAGACTGCAGCAGGCATGCGGTAACTGTTATGGGATGGTGCTGCTAGTGAGGGTGGCAGCTGTAGTGTGAACCCTGGGAGTGTTCACCCTGGGAGTTAGTGTACCAACAGCTATACCAGCGCTGACAACATAGAGGTGGTAGTCATAGTAACAGCAGTATCTCCCCAGGCCCAGGCTGCTCAATGGCTGCCCTGGGACTAGGAACCCTGCACCCCCAGTTTTGTTTCCTTCCATCCTAGATCAGCTGCAGTCCACGTGGCTAGCCCCACCCCCCTCTCCGGGCGCCCCCCATGTCTGGTGGTCCGCGTACTGTCCATGCTAGACCCCTTCTCGTCTTCTCTCCCACAAAGGCAGAGGTGGAAAATGGCCAGGTTAGACCAAAGATTTTCCAACAGTCATGGCACCAAGATGTGTCTGAGCTTTCTGTTAAAGAGAATAGCAGAGTCATTGTCACTGAATCACTTGTTCAAATCTACCAGTTATCTATGGAGCATCCATAGACGGTCAGCTCCCAGGATCCAGTGAGTAAGAAAGAGTTTGTGCCTCCTTATGAGGGAGACAGATAAGGTAAAAACTGTAGAAAAAATTTTTTAATTATATTCAAAAATACAGTACTTAGTACAGAGATGCTGAGATGGGGTGGAAGGTAAGCAGGCAGGGATGAGTCCGAGGGCTAGGGTTAGATTAGAGCAGACAACTGACCAAGAAACTAGTGGGGAGCAGGAGTTGGCCAAAGGAAGCAGGAAATGAACTGGAGTCTGGGATGGAGACAGGATTCTGGAGATGACAGAGGCCAAGCGTAAAGGGTCTTCTATGCCAGGGTCCCTGCCACACTCTGTTGCGGGTATTTGCATATGCACAGCTCTTTAAAATATTAAGGATGGGCCCATTAAATCAAAGAGGGCATATTTGCAGATATGAATATGCAGATTTGGAGTGTGTCATATTTAAATCCTAGTTGCTGAGCTAAAGATAACCTGCAGCCCTTTTGCTCGGTCAGAGCCCAAATCCAGATAGAGGGTCCCAAGGAGACAGTTTAGGGACACTACAGGGCCTCACTCATGTTCCTAATCTCCACTCAACCATCTCTGCTCAAGGCACTAGGGGGACAGAGAGGTGAATAAACCCTCTTCCTGAACTTGAGAGCTCACAGTCTAGTAGTGCACAGAGCACTGCAGTGCAGTGAGATAAGTGCTAATCAGAGGTGAGGTTGAGTCGGCAGGCACCAGTACCTCCTCAGCTGTTAAAATACTCAAATACTTGCATAGCAGTTGGTAAACAGATCTTGTCGCCACTCTACACCCATCAGCAAAGCCATCCTCTCCCTCTCCTGGTACCTTCTCACAGTCCAGCAATTAAAGAGTGGTATCTCCAGTGCCAAGGCCAGCTACCTTCAGATGGGACAGTAATTACACTCACCACCTGTTGAATATCTTGAATATTACCCCTTGTTGGTGATGGAAGTAAGTACAATGGACAGTAGGCCCACAGAGGAAGGACCAATAATGTTATCTTGGTGTCTGAAAGGGCTTTACAAATGAAGGCACATGTGAGCTGGGCTTTGAAGGATGGGTAGGAGTCTACCAAATTGAGATCACTGATGAACAGAGGGAGGGGGACATACCACTATGTGTCAGGCACTGTAACATGCTTTACACAGTTTTTTGTTTTCTCTCATCTGATCCAAAAAAGAGTTCTTCGATGTAGATGCAATTACTATTATATTTTTCAGATGAGAAAACTGAGGTTCAGAGAGCTGAAATGACAACTGAGATGTAAGGGAGCTGGGATGAATTGTGGCTTGGGCCTTAGAAGATTATTCTGATAGCCTGAGAACTGATGGGATGACAGAGAGGTTGGCAGCCCCAAGTTTTGGCCAAGCCCTTTCCCGGTTGCATGGGGTTCTCTGTTAAGTCTGTCTTTACTGGAAAGGGAATCTGGGAGATGACCAATCAAGACAAGCTAGACCAAGGAGAAGGGCAGGCTCCTTTTCTCCTCCTGCATCCAGCCTGGGCCAATAGTTGCCACACACTCCTTGCCAACAAAAACCTGTACAGCTGCCACACACACACACACACACACACACACGCGCACACAGAACTTGGGATCCATAAAAGAGAACATCATGAAATTTGTCAATAGGAGGAGGCCACACAGTGTGGTGGTGAAGACATGGGCTTTGGAGAAGATCTGTATATTCTGGAGTTCCTGATCTCATCTCCCTGTGAGCCCATGGGTAACAGCAATAACTAATGCTGGCTGAGTTCTTAAGGGTGCCATCTCATTTATTAGCTCCTCACGGGAGCTTCCATTAATATCCTCGTCTTACTTACAATGGGGAACCTACAGCCTATAAAAATTAAATAAAAGGCAGATCCAAATTCAGAAAGTCTGAGCTCAGAGTCCACATGCTTAATTACCTGACTTCCCTCATGTCAGTTCACATCTCTGGGACTCAGTGTCCTCATCTGTACCTGGGTCTAATAATCATACCTACCTCACAGAGTGGTTGTGAGGATGGAGTGAGGTAAGGTATCCATGCATTTAAAAAATATATGCAC